AGTGGCTTCCGTTAAAAATTTCCAGCTTGTGGCAGCTGTTGATCCATCCCACAACGTTTCGGCTGAAGAGCAAGAGAGGGTAATCCTACAGTTTGGGAAGATTGGAAAAGACATCTTCACCTTGGATTATCGCTACCCGCTGTCCTGTTTCCAAGCGTTTGCGATCTGCTTAAGCAGCTTCGACACTAAGCCAGCTTGTGAATGAAACACTTGGTTGTAGAACATGATCGTCATTTGCTGAATTTTGTTCCTTAATTTCGAACCATATGCATGTTCTGCGTACAAGTTCTTCATGCCTCGATCATGTAATTCTGAAAATCACAGCTATTTCAATGATTTCACTTTTCGCATGGCCTGCCAGTCCAGAATTTGTCTTGTAAGCTGTTTTTTGTGGTGCAACCGAATCTAAATTAACATGAAGTTGAATGAATGTTACCTGTATATAGGGGTTGCAATACGATCCATGGCCCAATCATCCATACTCCATAGAGAGGAGCCCATCACTTGACGCATCATGTTGGTATCAAAACGGGGTAAAAGAATCTAGCGCATTTCGTTTAAGAGCTGATGAACAATTTTTGAAATTTCTACCTTCTGGTCTTTGTGAAACAGTAACGACATGTGTACCCATTACGTCATATGATGAGAGCTGTAGATACAAAATGGTGTAAGTATCTCTGGTTTGGAGGTAGATTGTCTGCCCTCTTATTTGGATGTCATTCTCATCCTCTCCTATTTTATGCGGTCACGGTTAAACCACGTCAATATTTTATATTAATTTTTTTATAGAGATAATAAGACAAAAAATAATAAGAATATAAAATGTTGACGTGATTTAACCGTGACCGTATAAATAAAAGGGAAAGGTACCCAAACAGGAGGGCAGACAATCTACCTCCCTCTGGTTTTTCATGCTTGTATGATGGATTTTAAACGTAATGATTGAGTGACGGATTTTCAACTAATGATGAGGGAAATCTAGCAAAACGATATGCTTAAAAAGTAGGAGATCTAAAGTAAATTCGCAGTTGAAAAGGATAAGAAAAGAGATTGGGTAATACGAGCCATGCGCGCCACTTTAGGTGACACATGCTTCATTTTATAAACGACATGGATTCTTGCTTTATTACAAGGTTTTGGCATCTCATAAGTAGTATTACTATTATGTAAAAGCTAATTACTTATTGCTCAGTGCTGACAAAAGTTTCCCTGCCAAACTTTAATGCACAGAAAATTTCAAAACTCAAAAATAGTTTAACAAAAGGAAAATTAACAGAAAGTTTAAAAAAAATTAGTTTTAACAAAAATAATAAATGAAGCTGTAGTGAATAGTACCAGAAAAAAGTAAAAATATAATTTTTATTATAAATGAACCGTACAAGAAGTGTTTTGTTAAAACTCCTTTTAATAAATTGCACATCACCACCATATCAATCAATTGAAACACTAACAAAAAGGTTTAAACAATTGATCTAGTATTCCAAACGTTTCTTTAAGCATATCATCATCATTCAGCAAACAAATCAATCAAATCGGATGCAAGCTTATCTCATCGTCATGTCTTTGAACTATTGTTTGGACCCAATATTACACTCTCGATCATGTGCAATCGAGGTTGTTGAATGAATTAACGAGTTGGTAAAAAGTCTATAAATTAGGTTGCAAGTTTCAATTAAGCTGCACATGAGCAATTTAATTTACCATCTACGAAATTCGAATCTAAGTTTTCTCACACTTACAAATGAAGAAGAATATCATCTTGTAGTATTAAATGACAATCCTAGGTGAGTTGGGATCATGGTCTAATATATCGATATTATCCCGATATTTCCATCGAAATTTCTATGTTTTTGGACTACCGATATTTCCGATATCATCGATATTTTAGACCTTTGATAGGAACTCTATGTGGTACTAAGTCACTCATGTATCTTACCATGCAATGTGTAAAGTGTAAAATATTGTACTAATTCATTATATATAAATGATTATGGTGTTTTTAAACTTCTTTCATTAATTACTACATATTTTCTACACTCACAATGTTTGCCAGCTCGCTATATAATCAACTTAAATCAGTTAAATTCATCATGCAATGCATTTCCTTCTAATTTTTTGTGATAAACTAATAGATAATTGACTAAATAAACATCCTGCAAAGTTTCAATAAAAATTTAAATTTTTCTTACAATTTCCGTGATTTTTATTCAATTTGTATCGATATTGATAATATGCCGATATTTCCATCGAAATTTTCGTGTTTTTAGACTACCAATATTTCTGATATCATCGATATTTTAGACCTTAGTTGGGATTGCTTAAAAGAGCAGGGTTGGATTGTGGCTCGGTCAAGTCCCAAACAAAGTAGGACTGTTGGAGGGTCATGATAGGTTTTTGATAAGGTTTGAATTAAATTGCTTAAGGAACATTCGTGTGTAGATAAATAAATAATTAATTATATAAAAGGAAAAAACCATAATCTGATCGACTCCATCTCTGTCGCCATTGCCTCTTCTCCTATGATTGGTTTTATGAACAAGAACAAGAAGGAAAAAAACCCTAATTTGATCGAGTTCCTAAAACCCACAAAACCCTAGCTGGAGAGCAGAAAGCAATCAAATCAAAACACTAAATTTAAAACCTGCAAAAGTAAGGTGTTTGCCTCTGGTTAGGAATTTGAATTGTGGCTTCCGCGGCGTTTCGGGGGCATGACTGAAAAAAAAAAAAAAGTTTAATGGCGCTGGTTGAATTGGCGGTTTTAAATGGTAGAAAAATAAAATAAAATATGCCGCTTGAGGAAGGGCTTGAGAACCTTCAACCTTGTGATTAAGGGCCACACACTCTAACCAACTGAGCTACTTCAACTTTTGTTAATTTAATTTATTACTAATGAAAAGGATTTTAAAACTTTGAGTTTTAACGATAAAAACAAAATAAAGGGTAAAGTGAATAGTACCATGATTGACTTTTTAGTGTAAAAATATGGTTTTTAATTAAAGTGAACAGTATCGGGAACTTTTCGTTAAAGTTCTCATAATAATTTCATATTTCAACATAAGTAAATGACTTTTTTATTTTCTAACAAAATAATGAAACAATTTTTTCTTCAACCAAAATCAATAACCTACTTATCACTGCAAGTCGCTAACACTACAAAAAAAAAGCTTCCATAAACTCGTTCCTAAGTGTGTCGGAGTAGACTGAAATCAATAACAGCTCTCTATTATATAATGGTTGATGACTTGCCATTTAGAAAGTGAATGAGATTAGAGATAATGATCTGAGTTAGATTGCGATGAGAAAATCTGATCCAAAGGTTATTAGAAAATGAAATAATATTATTTGATTTGGGAAAATGTGTCAATTAGATAAATAAACCAATGAACGAGATTAAGATAAAAGAATATAATCCAATACTTGTGAAATGAAATCTTACCTTGTTGCATTTTTTATTTGTGTTTCAAACAGTTGATAAGTGATGAAATCTAACCTTGTTAGAATATGAAATTTCTTTAGGTTGGTGCATGTTTATCAAGAGAAGAACATGGTAGCAAATGACGTTGCCAATTAGAGTTATAATATGGATCTTGGGTACCATTATTTTGATAATCCTCTTGATTAAATTGGAACTTGATTATTTAATGAGATGATGGTTGTCCCTAGACTTGAATTATCTGTAATAACTCTTTGAGCTTTTGAACACCAAAAAAAAAAAAAAAAAAAAAAAAAAACCCTTCTTTGAGCTAGTTTTTGAGGTGATCTAAGATTGTGGTGCTTAAAAAAAAAACAGTTATTAAAAAATCTGGAACATTTAGGTGGAAATGTTATGTTTTTTATTTTATATATCATTGGGTTGAAATGTTAAAAAAACAAAAGGAGTTTAGATCACTATATAAATAAACATATAACCCTAGACTTGTAAACAGGTTGGGTTGAACTCGACCCGTTAATAGGTCATCCAAATTCAACACATTAAGTTAACGGATTATCCGTTTTACTTTTTAACAATTTTTTTTTTGTTTTTTGTTTTGGTGCAAGATTGAGTCTTGAGGGACCTGAGTCGTGAGGGACCTGACGGTTTTCTATTAGGACTATGCATCGCCTCTGATATATTTTGGTGCAAGATTCGATGGATTTACACCCCTGTCAATCAAGATGGATCTCAACGCCCCATTGACTTCAGGTCCTTGGGCCCTTGCCGTCAACCGTGCAGCCCATCGAAACGCAGGTTCCGATAATCTCCTTGACCGTGCCCGCGAGCTCCTTGGCCATGGATCTGTCCCTCATAAAGTTGTCGATATGACATCATCAAGGGAGATGTTGTTATTGTGCTTGAAGAGGAGGTGTTCTGCGAGGGAGGAGGCAGTGACTGCTGGAGGGAGGTGTGTTCCCAGTAGGTGAAATTACACAAAAATCTTCAATAACGGTTGTTAACGGGTTTCGTAGGTTCATCCAAAATGACTCGTTATTTAACGGTAGATTAATGGATTGACCCGTTAACCATCCGATCCGTTTATCACTCATCTGAATATTAATTTTAACGGGTCGGATCGGGTTAACAGTCGGGTTGATAATGCTAGGTGTATATAACCCCATATAAAGCTTGGATTTTAAATACCCGGGATGCTGGGCATGGAATAGTTCATATCAGAGAGCTGCGCAACGGGCAAAACATTGGATTTTCAACATCTTCCTTCTCAAAACCTATCTGTTCCCATTGAACTTCACCAACACTGCCATCTTATAGCACTTAAACCAGGCAACCACCTGACTTATGCATCTCCAAGTTTCAACTTACCATCAACTGCTTACAACAAACAATGAAGATAAAATTCTGATCCAGCACCCGTGCCTGCACGTAGAAGCTCTGGTTTCCGTCCTGATACTGCTACAAGAGCGTAGCAGGATTGATTTCCCGGCTCCTAATAATTCGTTCGGATGCACATTGTTCATTGGTTTAATGAAACTTTACAGAACCAGGCAAAGTACAATGAGAAAAGGGATTCAATTTTCTGAAGCACATCAAATTACATTCATATTATATATTTTTAATGAGTATGTATACAGCTGCAAAATGGAAGAAGATATATTATGAATGAAGAAAAAAGCTCACGACTTTGCTGAAATCTAGAAACCTGATAAAAAAAAAAAAAAACTACATCAAAATTAGTCCATTATTACGAAAACCAGTCACTCCCTACCATATTTACCTGTAACATGAGGATACTTTTCCACACTTTTTAAAACCCACAAAGCGCTCCGGCCTAGAAGCAATGAGTCTTACCGGGCGAAGAGATTTGGAGACGCTGTAAGAAGCAAACCACCAGAGGCTTCATTTCTTCTTTTTCGGTATAAGGGAACTGGGTTTTGTGAACATGGATATTTTCTTTCCAAAGAATCCTGAAATCTTTGGTGATTTCCTTTCAGTAGAATGATTTACATGGTCTCTGGATGCATCAAGGTCGGCAGATCCAGAGCACTCATGCTCATTGACATATTTGATATCTCTTAAGAGCCGTAGCACTTCCAATGCGCTTGTCATTGCTCTCTCTGTCCCATTGTTAGATAAATAGACAAGCGATGGGATAACACCCTCGTGCATGACCAACTGACAATATTCATCACGCTGAGAGCATAAAGAAAGGAGGATATCAACAGCATGTTCTTGGTCCTCACTGCTGCCTGTCTCCAGGAGTTCAGCAATAGAAGCAATGCATCCATTACTTGCAGCAATCGAAATCCTGGCCTCTTCAGTATCACACAAATTTCAATATAGAAATGCAGACTCCTGAAAGAATGTCATCTTTAAAGAAAGAAACCAATTTTGGTATGCACTGCAAAGATACAATTTTTGAGCAAATGTCCTTATCTAAGGACAAATTACGTAAAATCTTAATGGCTTGTCCTTGTAAATCTTTGCTCTGGGAGTCCAGGAGTTTTAGAATGGATGTAAGTGCACCAGATTCTGAGACCTTAGGCCTGCAATACTGGTGGCCAGACACAACTTCCATTATGGCAAGAACTTCTTCTGTTACCTTTGAATCAAGATAACATGCCAGCAGACTATATGCCTCTTCACATAGATTAGGTATTCCATTTCTACAGTAGGCAGCAAAAACGAAATTAAAAGAATCTAAAAATAACTGCAGTATGGATGCGGACGTTATTGCATAACAGTTTGATGCATAAAACAGTTCACTAGGCCACAACTTAGTCATGCAAGAGTAACGAATTCCCAGCTACAAAATAAAAATTTACCTGTTTTTTCTCACAAAGGTCAGTAATAATTTAAACCCATCCCTCTGCGCTTTTGCATCATTCAGGTCATGTGCATCCCTCAAAAATTTGATGAGAGGTTCAACAAAATTCTTAGATGACATAGCATAGGAAGCTTGAGGATTGCATTTCAAATGGTTTTTGACATCTTCAACAGCCTTGCATTGGGATTCCCATTGGACTTCACCAAGTTCAGATAGAAATTGAGCACCTGTCTCGCATTTTTTAGCATACTGGTATTTCAGAGAATCATTGTCGTTCTGCACCAAACTCAAGCCATTTTCAATCTTATTGCGTGATGAATCAGAATTGTAACTGGTATCTAAGGACCCAAACGATATACAGCTGAAATCCATTTGTAGGTGTAGATCATTCATAGAACTGCCTAAACTACGAATGGAAGTGGAAGAGGTTTCCCATGAGAGGACTTCTGGTTGCATACTTGGGTCGGGAAGGACAACTCCATACTGTGTACACCACCTTGATATTAACTCCTTCATGTTAATGTTCGGAGTCAATGACAGGTTGGTTAGTTTCATATTAGTTTTTGGGCATGTATCATGACCCTCATCAAACCACTTCTGTATCCACATTTTTTCATATGTTTGACCAGAAGCAATGACAACAGGATCGAACATCATTTTGGAAGATATTCCGCACATAAATTCCTCAGGAGGTACAGCTCCATGGAACAAGTTACTTTGTGCCTTGGACTCGCCATAACCAACGTGAGGTTCAACTTCAGCATATTGATTAGATTCAAAACAATTTCCAGAATTCTCAGAAGCAAACGTTCCTTGTTGCAGCTCTAAGGCACTCTCTGTTTGCTTTCCCGTTATCAAGCTTCCATACTTCTTCAATAGATACATGAAATAAGTCAAAATTTGCTTTTTCTGAGGGTTACTGTCACCAACTTTTTCTAGCAACTTCCTAATTGATCTTTTCTCAATTAAGATTGCCTTTGATGATGTGATATGGAGCCTCAAGGATGCAATTTGAAAAGCCTTGATTTCAGAATCCTCCCTTGGGTCTGACTGAGAAGGAACATCATGGAGCAATTCTCGGACAACCCTCCCAGCTTCTTCTTCATACGGGTCCAGTTTAAATGTTGAACCTTTAAGATCCTCAGCTATTTGAGACAGCTGCAAATGACATTTCATCATCATCTCAACCAAATAACTGTGACTTAATTGGTATGAACCAACATAGAAGATTAGAAATTAAATGAAAAAGATTAGTGACTTCGAGCCAAGCTAACTTTACTTTTAAACAATAAAACCCAGATCATTAACAAAATATGCTGCCAGAGAAAAAAAAAGAAAAAAAGAAAAGCAAGAAGAATAAGCCTACGACATCAACCTTCAACATTGTTTTGATTGATGTATAATATCTATAAAGGTTTGATGTGAGCAATGATCAATCAAAAAATGATTGTTGTACTGTTCCATGCAGGTCTATGCCCAGCACCCCATCGAAGGGAAGTGGGGTTGTGGAAAAAGGAAATACGAAAAGATGATGAAAACTTTTAGTAGGAAAAAGGGCATGTAAGTTAACAAACCTGCATCACCAACATCACTGGAACCCAGTTCTGAATTTCTCGTACACTTTGCTCCAACAAGTTCCTTGATCCTTGACATCTTGAGACCATCACATCCCCGGTAACTGCCTGCAAGTCAACCATAGAATGGCAGGTAGGTACACAGCTCATATTGGACAAACCGCACTGAGTATTTGACATCAATAGAAATGCATTTCAACACAGCTAACCCGTAGGCGTTGGGAGTTGGACAAAGCTTCATAAAGAGAGTTTCTCAAAGGTACAAACCAGGTAGAGTTTACTAGACTCGCTGCAATGCTGAAGAAGTAGCTTGGCCTTCTCCATTCCACGATTTAACAAGCATAGAGCCTGTATTCCTGTTGAGCACCGAGGTCGAGCTGCTTCTATTTCTGGAAGTATCCTGGAGATTCTATCAACCAACCTCAGGAGTTCCGTGCACATTAAACGATGAACCTGTTATCATCAATAACAATTATGTAAAAAATCTAACTAATATGACTAAACAATTAAATAAATACACTAGAAAAATTTAAGGACACATAATCTCAAGTCTGAGGTTCCTCAGAGTATCCATTAGAATTACAAGGAAACATGATCGCTGTCACTTTCCTAAATGTATGTCTCAGTTAAATACATCCTAACATCTCCATTTGTTTTTCCACACAATTGCAGAGATAGCATAAGGGTCATATTCTGTCATCTTGCAGAAAGATCAGTAATCTCGTGGTTTTTCTTGCCCCACTTTTTACATCTGCTAACAGCACCATATTATCTTCCTTCAAAAAATCAGCTATTGATTGTAAAAATAGAGTCATGCCTTTACCAACGGGACCAGATACCGAAAAAATGACACGCTGTGTATAAATTTGGACTTCATATTTCATACATCAAATACAAACTAGAACAATTCACAATATCATTAGTTTGAATGAGAAGAGTTGTCTCTTGTTGTAACTTGTAAGTGACAAAAGTTGATCAGACATCGATTCATAACTACATAACGAATCCATCCTCAAAGTTAAACATCCCATATGACCTAAAATAAGAGATTGATTTAGCATATTATACCTTAAAGCAATGAGGTGTCCTCGCTGCCTCCGCCACTTCAGCAGCATCGGTACCCATTCGAGAGAAATTATCTCATATCTGGGCATTCAATAAGAAAAAGACAGTTATTTTCATGTGTTTCTAACATATTATGAAAACAATCTAATATTATGCTAGAGTCACATTTCAATATTCAGCAAACATCAACCCATATGCAAAACGATGAGACTTCGGGCACAAGTTCTGAGCAAACCCCAAATTCAACACTTTACAGTTTTCGTCGTAAATGCTAAACAAGAAAAGTTGAATTCATCAAAAAGTAACACTCAACATAAAAATTAGGTTATAAAGGTTATAACATTTCCATATCAAGAACCATATGCAGAGTCTAGGGGAGCTCTTCACACAAAACCATTTTCACTTGTGTCCACCATAAAAGAATTGCGTACCGGTAACGGAATTCGGGTGCAAAACAATCATCACAGAAAAAATTTGATTAATTCAACTGGGAAATGTTCATGTTTGGATTCATTTCTGCCGCAGAGATTCACATACTAACAATCTTTATTGGGCCAATAATTCTCAGTCAACTGCTGTACCAAAAATTTCCTTTTCTCGCCTAAATTGCTAAATTCTCACAAATCATTTAACTTATGTACATATAAGACACAAATTATTAACTTCAAAAAGAAGAAATAAAAAAAGGGACTCGCCCAGTGAAGCAGAAATAGAAGTATGCTGACAAGCTTCCTCCTCAGTCTTCAGCTAAATTTTGAAAATCCTACAACCCAATTCACATACCACACCAAATATTACCTTCAAACCATTCACCTCTGAGGAACACCTTGAAATCCCCACAAAGTTGTCCAATTTCCAGCAGAATTCAGCTTCTTTCAGTGTTAAGAAGCCTTCCCAGAAATAGAAAGCAAAATAACATACGCTTGGTCTGCACAAACTATTCAGATAAACAAAACCCAGAATTAGATTCCTTTTGGCTAAACCACACCAACCAAAAAAACACCAATCAAATTAAGTAGCTTTTATATCCAAAAATGACCCAGAAAAAAAAATTATTACAATTTACAGAAAGTAAAGCATTGCTGCATGTCAAGCCCCCACAAGAAGGGCAACCAAGTCTTTGCACTAGAAAACGAAAATACTTTAATTAAAAAACCCCAACTTTTGTCTGCTAGTTTTGGAGTTCGAACAATGCTTGGAGTTTTTGTATAATGCAGAGCCTGGGGAGGAGACTCGGGAGAGCAGCAAAATACCAGTCAACGAGCATCAAGCGTTCTCGGTCGTCCACTACCAGAGACAGAGACAGAGCCAGAGAGGAAGAGTCTTCGTCTCCGAATGGGCGAGTAATTGAACGGTGAATTCTTATTAATTATTTCTATCTCGTCACGTGATTAGAGAGACATATAAGAACACCGATCGTGTGAGAGAATATCCTCTTACTTTGTGAAGTACAGTGACCGGTAAGGCTGTAAGCAGTAGTGAAAACGTAAAAGGAAGCTGACAATTTCAAATGCGCAGATCATATTAAGAAGGCTTCAAAGGGTCGTCATCATGGACAAGGATTGTCTGCCGTTTACTTCTGGTGTCCTCCCGTGCCTTTCTGTTTATGTGATCACGGTTAAACCACGTCAATATTTTATATTATTTTTTTTATAGATATAATAAGACAAAAATAAATAGTAATATAAAATGTTGACATGACTTAACCGTGACCATACAAAACAAGAGGGAACAGAAAAGGCACCGAAAGTGGAGGGCAGACAATCCTTAGAAAAGTCTAAATTTTTTTTTAGTAAAATGAAAAAGTCTAAATAAGAAAGGGTCCCAAACCTCATTAATTGTATAACAAAGTAAGTGACTCTGATTTCCAAAAAAAAAAAAAAAAAAAAAAAAAAAAAAAAAAGAGTGAGTGACTCTTTATTCCAGTAGCAAAAAAGAATTGAATATTTGTATTACGGCGTGGGCTTCCATCCTATCAATGATTAATTTAACATTTAATTTAAAAATATATATTTTTTTGACAAAAATAATAACAATAATAATATTTGTATAACAAATAACGTTGCCGCTCCCACCAACTTCGGTGGGGTTCACTCCCCCGCCATTTTCCTCGGTTTTTCTATTGCGGTCAATTGAGCAAAAAATATTTGGTCGTCGCTATGTGGTAGTTTTTTAACACCCTCTTATTTTTACACATATTCAATATGATACGAAATGTCGTTATGACAATAAATTTAGGAAAAATTAGAATGCCCTACATATTTTTTATAGTTGTTAGATTAAACATTCATCTCTTCTAAAGATTTGATAAAGGTGCTTCACTCAATTGCCACCTCAATAATTTTCTATTTATTTAATTTCCATGTCATTAATTTAAATGCATTTATATAGAGGCATAAGGTAGCTTAGCAACTAATTGCCTATAATATAGGAATTTAATTTTCTCAATCCCCTTCTGCGCATTAAATGACATATTTTTTAATAAAATAAAAAATAATAATTAACTAATTCCTCATTTCCTTATTATCAGTATTTAAAAAAAATACTCTTTCTATTAAAATTGTATCAATAAAAAGTCTTCAATACATATTTTTTTCATGTAATATATTAAAAAATATACTTAAAACTTATGGTACATTTGAGAACAAAAGTATCGACTTTTGGTACCTTTAGATTTCAAATGTACCGAGAAACCAAATGTAACAAAAATTCAAATGTACCATAAAACCAAATGTACCCATTGTTATGTAACCTTTTTGGTACGTTTAGATTTCAAATATACAGAGAAACCAAATGTACCAAAATTTCAAATGTACCATAAAACCAAATGTGCCCATTGTCAGGTAATCCTGTTGGTACGTTTAGATTCCTATTGTACCAAAAGACCAAATGAACAAAAAATCTCAAATGTACCACAAAACAAAATGTCTCTATCAGATAATCCTTTTGGTACATTTACATTCCAAATGTACCAAGAAATACAAAAAATCAAATCCACTATAAAATTAAATGTGTCCATATTATAGGTAACTAGACGTACCTATATAATCAAACAAATCTTTACTATGTGTTCGGTCTTCTAAATAATAAAATTTGACAATTTTGTTTATAAATATTCTACTATATTCACAAAAAAAAGTAAATATTATAACAAACAATAAAAAAATGCATAGAGATGGATAATAAATGCATAAATATAGAGTAATAGGAAAAGAAAATGAAATGCCCAGGAGATGGATAATAAATGCATAAATATAGGGATAATAGGGAATATGAACTGAAATTAATAACCAAAATTTTAGGAAAATGTTTGATCAAATTTTCAAAATGACTGTATGTTTAGTCTAAAAAATTAAAAAACGAGGCGCCTATATCAAAATGCCCCATAAATTTACGTCAAATAAATTGTTCACGTTTGTGGCAGTCCCATGTTTCAATATGATAGAACACGCTTGGAGCTCGCGATTTCTACTTTTTTTTTTTGGTAAAAGACTATTTACTACCCTCATGTTTCGTAGTTTTCAACATTTAATACATCAAGTTTTTTTCGTCTCAGAGTCATACCTAAAGTGTTAATTTTGGGACAGTCTCATACATCTGTTAGTCAAACTGTTAATTCTCCCGTTAAGTGATGACGTGGCACCCATGTGGACAATAACTGGGCACCACGTGTCATTAAAGCATCCACGTGGAAATTAAAATTTCAAAATAAAAAATAAAAAAATTGGTCTTCTTTTTCCTCCTCAACAGTCATTTCCTTCCTTATCCCTGCATTCTCTCCTCAAAATGAGTCTCAGATCCCACAACGAGTCCGAAGATGAGAACCCAAATATGCACCAACCCACCAAACTCTTAGCTCCGATTCAACTCCTCAAGGTGTGGATATATGCACCAACCCACCAAACCCTCACAGAACCCAGATCCCGCAACCGCTGGACTCGTTTAATTCAACTCTCAGCTCCGATCCACCATCGTTGACTGATTTCTTCACCATCATATCCAGTACCAGCTTTCAAAGCCATTAACCATGGGTGTGCATGCTGGAGCATTTAACCACAAGGTTAGGAAAAAAGCCGGTCGTCGATGGCGGAGATGGTGGCTGCGAAGTAGGCAAGCCGAGTGAAGGGAAGGGACTTGGCGGCAAAGGTTTGGAAGGAACTCGAGATTTGGTGGGTTTGTGCATAGGAGAGAATGGAGGGAGAAGAAGGGAGGGAGCGAGGGACAGACAGACGATTTGGAGGGTTTGGTGGGTTCCTCCCTGATTCTTGTTTTTCTTTTTTTCTTTTGTTTTTCATTCTCTTCTTCGCACAGCCAAAGATTCACAAAAGCTGAAGTGAGAAGATTCCAAGCTGTTGTTTCTAACCTTTGCAAATTCAGGTACTCCTCCTTGATTATTCATGCGATTTGGAGAGTGGGTTCAACAATTTGGGGTTATATTTTTCAAATTCTAAAGGTACAAATCTACTAGGTTTTGATCCAAAACGGTTTTGGTTGGAATCGGTTCAAGAATTTGGTATTTTCAACTATGGATCTTCTCTTTGTGAACCCAGGTGGAGGAGACCCAAATCCTCCCAATTTTCGAGAAAACTATAAAGTTAAAAGAAAAAAAAATTCAAATAAACTAATATTGGGTTTCTTTTGTGAACCCAAAAAAATTGGGGTCTCTTTCGAGATGAAAGAAAACGGAAATGGAAAAGGAAAATCAAAATGAAAAAGGAAGAAGAAAGGAAGAAAAGAGACCGGAGGGCAGAGAAAAGAAAAGGCCAAGAACTACAACATCGCCGCTGTGGTAGTGGGTCCAGGATTTGGACACAGAGGATGAGATGTCGTCGATGGCGGAGATGGTGGCTGCGAAGTAGGCACGCCGAGTGAGGGGAGGGAACTCCGCAGCAAGGATTTGAAAGGAACTCGAGATTTGGTGCGTTTGTGCAGAGAAGAGAATGGAGGGATAAGGGAGGAAGGGAATGTCGGGGAGGAAGAAGAAGACCAAATTTTAATTTTTTTTAATTTTTAATTTCCACGTGGACGCTTTAATGACACGTGACGCCTAATCATTGTCCATATAGGCGCCATATCATCAATTAACGGGATAATTAATAGTTTGACTAACGGATGTATGAGACTGTCCCAAAATTAACACTTTAGGTATGACTCTAAGAAGAAAAAAATTTGATGTACTAAATGTTGAAAACTACGAAACATGAGGGTAGTAAATAGTCTTTTACCTTTTTTTTTCTTTTTTTTTTTTCACATTGGGACTCTTCCACGATAAACATTTTTTCCTTTTCAGGGTTTCGCGTTCACTCTTCTTTCAGGTCCAGCCTCTCCATTTCGCCTAAAATTCTCGGAATTCGTTGATAGTTAGAAAATATATTCTAGATCGGGTCGATTGATTCGAACAAGTAGGTGTAACTGTAGAGTTCTATGACGGCGAACTCAACAGAGTCAGTTATAGCGATCTCGCTACTATGAAAAAATATGATAAACGTGCTCAATTGGGTGAGATTTTTGAATTAGATCGTGCTACTTTGAAATCCGATGGTGTTTAAGAACTATCTTTGTAACCCTATAATGTTTCACTTTATGCTCCTACCTAATATCTGGATATACCAAGAAAGATATATATATCCAGAATTAACGCATTCATCATAGTTAGAAGTGCCAGCTCTGTATCAAGTCATAGTCGTTACTTTAGTAACAACATAACAGAGACAGTCAATCAATATAAATTGATTTGAAATATGATTATTTTTCTCCTAAAAATCTTTTCAATTCCTCTTGAAATTTTATAGCTTAGACCTAAATCAAATTTAATTTGAGTAAAGATGCGAAATCCACCCCCCTTAATTGACTAATATAGGACCATTGTTCAACAAAGCTTGTTTAGTGGCTTCCTTCGGTTTTTAGTTGATTACAATGTTGTAAACTGATAGTTTTGCTACTAGAAACTATTAATTTTTATTCGTGATGATTTTTTATTGAAATTTTACTTCTTAGAGTTTAGTGTATGATAAAAAAAAAAATGCTTAGTATATATATGAAGGGCCCCATCTTGAATTCTCACTCCTGCATCCAAATCTCCGGATCGGCCAATGGCCATGTTGTCGTACAGAATAAAGATATATATGTTTAGGAATTAGATCCTCTCCAGATTTTTTTATTGGGGATCTTTGGAATCCATTAATAACAACTGTCGTGTGGTGTCAATATTTTTTTTAATTTTTAAATACAAAACGAAGATATTTTACTTTTTAAAATATAAAAAGTATTCAACGGTGGCTGCATGATCTTTGATAATCAGTTGGTATTAATTGATTCTTAGGAACTCTAATGAGAAGATCCGGAGATGATCTAATTCCATATATTTAATGCCGTAGGGATTTGGCTCCAAATTTTAGTTATGATTTCCTTGGCTTTTGGCCTTTGGA